AGCAGGAAGAAGAAAGCACAAAGCGGGAACATGATGTGGAAAATCAGACACAGCTGATGGCTCGGCATTTGCCGTATCAGCTTCTTGTAAACTGATTTTTAAAGAGATGTTGTTTTAGGATTGGATGGATTAGGGAACTGGTAATGGGATGCTGAGCCGTTGAGCTCTGGATCACCAATGTTGCCCGGTAACACCCAGAAGTCATTCTGAATCAGTATGCGGGTTTCCGCTTTGGCCGAGCAAACCGGCCCTGCCCGTGCCGCTGGTGCAGCTGAGCAGCACTGCTCGGGGAGCAACTTCGCTCGGAGATGTGAAATAACGCATCCCATGCTGCCGCTGCACGGGGGACACCCAGGCTCGGGTCATTTCCCACCAGCGCCCACCAACCCGGGCAGCTCTGGGGACCCTCGCCTGCACGGCGCTGCCCGGCTCTGCCTGCGCCGGGGTGCACCACGTCGTTACCATGGCCTTCAACTTCCAGGGTGCAGAAGGGAAGTGGCAGCACTGACTGTGCCACACCAGCTCCACCGCAGGTTAAACGTGCAGAGCATTTGCAGTTTTCTTTACAATCCATGCTAAGAAATCAGAAATGCTTCCAGCCCTAGAGCCCCATTGCCAGTTCCATTTCCAGCGGTGCTAAACCTCCACCTCCCAGGAAAAGTCAGTTTTAGAGGAGATCTGGCCAAAGCCGTTCCCACCCTATGGGAAGGGATTGGGAGGCGCAGCCTTGGGTCATCCCAAGCACTGGGTACGTATGAGGCCCCACAAAAGAAAAGCTCCCAGAAGCAGGTAATTTGTGTTGATGCCTTATGATTGCTCTCCACGAAAAGATGCATTTCAGACACTGAGAGAACAACAGAGGGAACTCACCCCTTCAGGAGCACAGGCAAACTTCTCCGAAATCATGAAAGGCACTCCATCCATTGCTGAAAGGGACAAAACAAGCAACATGTCACATTTCCAGCTAACTTTTGACACGCAGCTGCATACACTCCCAGTGACAGCTCAAGTGTCTGTGGCTCTGACACATGACTGATAGCTCGTACAAGTCACTGCCAGCCTTCTCCTCCCTCTGACCTGCTGGGGCTTCTCTGTTTGAGGCACAGCTGGGTCAGTCCCTACCAAACCAGGAATTCAATGAACCCATCCTGCCCTACCCAGGTACAATTTAATGATCTCAGTTTTGAGTCTCCCAATTTGGTTCAGGTGCGAAAACAGGACAATATTTTAAATGGAAAAAACACAAACAGTTTAAGAGGACATACACCGATTCACAAGCATCACCCAGAGCCACCTGAGCCAAGTCACAAGGCCCTTACCCAGCTCAGGGGCCCCATTCCCCTCAATGCAGCGGGGAATGCTGCCAGGGTGAGCACCCCCTGGGCTGGCCACTGCCAGTGCTAACCCAACCTTGAGAAATGGAGCTCAGACGGCTTGTTTTAAAGCACCTAACTCAGCAAGTTCCACACAAGACTGAAAAGGGCACATTTCTTAGACAGGGTGCAGCCCTGAATATACCCGCTTTATTTCAGCTTTAACACCTTTAACATTTTAAGTCTTTGAATTTCAGCTCTGAAAGAAATAAAAACTTCAAACTGGAGCAAATTTAAGGCCTGAAATGCCCTCAAGTAATCCTCAAATAGGGTTTTCTTTCACAAAGCATCCATACCCATGAACCCAGTCTTTCTTTGCTTGGTGTCTGTATCTCCCATCAGCACCACTGAGTTACCAGGTTAGCGATTTAACAAGGGTTATTTAAGAATACTTAGCATTCTACATTTGCTTTGTACATTTTTGACTTAAAAACCCCCTCCACTGAAGTGATTTCATTATCAAAGGTGCTCTGTGGCAGCCACAGTGCTGAGTGAAACAAAAGGAAACAGATAAAAAGCAGCATCACCAAATCCAAGAAGTTTTGAACCTGAAAGACCATCTGCATTTGTTACCCCGACAGAAATCCGCTTTGATCAGTCGCACACGGCTTTTGTAAAGTAATTTAAAGAATAATCTGCCTTGAGCGTGCAGCCCCCCGCCCCTTGCATGCTCCAGCCCTCCCAGAGCTCAGAGCCACAGAGCAAAGCAGCAGATGAAAGTGGGGTGTGCCAAACGCTCAGCAGCGCAATTAGCACTCTCCTAAACAAATGAGCTTCAACAGAGCTGTAATTAAGCAGGCCTGTAATTAAGTATATGCCCTTTATCATAACGATCATGCTTAAAAGTGGCATGATGCATGCAAGTGTGTTATTAATGCTGCACTCCCGAAGCATGGGAGCGTGCGCAGGAGCCAGCGTGTCAGGGCCGTCACCGGGTGAAATACAGCATGGGAGGAACCGGGAGACAACGGCTCACTCACGGCTCCCTTTGCAGCACTTGAGGCACAAGGATTCAAACATCCACCGACCCAGGAAACTACTGAAATACAGCAGCAGGCTGCCGTGGCTGCAGCCTCTGCCCCATGCTCGGCTGCAGGGGCTGCAGGCAGGTGGTGGGGACCCCTCAAGATGTGTGGGCAGCAGCTGGACAAAGCAAACACTTTGGAGGAAGGATCCCCCCGTGTCCCCCACCTCACCCTCAGAGGTGCTGCCCACCACCCTGCAGCACCGGCCATGGAGATTCAGAGCAGCACTGCCCAAGAAGGGTTTCTTCATGTTCACAAGGCCGAGGCACCCAGCTGCCTTTCAGGAGTGTAAATCCAAATCCAAGAGGATTAACAAATGCAGCGACAATTTGTTCCACAACACTGAACCATCTCACGTCAACATTCACTTCTGTACCTCGTGGACGAGGTGCCACGTGATGTGCAGCGAGTTTTGTGGGGGTCCCATGCCCCTCACCGCTTTGAGCAAACCCCAGCGGCAGTAGCTCCATTTGCAGTGATGAACCAGGGAGGCTCAGCACCACGCAGCAACACTGCCGCGATGGGGCTGTGCACGTGCAAGCTCACGCTGAGCTCACGTGGTTGAGCCCTTTAAGCCTCTCCAGCGCCCACCAGCACACCCAGACGCACAGCAGAGGGAAGCAGGTGACCAGGTGACCGTGGGCGGGGGTCTCCAGGGGCCAGCACCTCCAGCATCTGGCAGGGAAGAGCTCCCGTCGCTGCACCCCATCTGCCGGGTGTCCAGCGCCGGGCTGCGGACACAAGTGCCATCGCTCCCACCGTGCACCGCGAGACAGAACGCAACCACTGTTTACAGCAGCCAGCTAAGCTGATAATAAAATTAAATGAAACCAGAACTGTAGGAGGCTTTTAATTCCGTGTCCCTTGTTCTGATGCTGTACTGTAAATAAACAGCAGCAGCAGCCCCTGATTCCTCCCTTTTTCCCATTGGTTTTGCAGCACTCCCAGCAGCCTGCAAGGAGCACAGTGCTGTGCTGAGATGCTGCTGTGTCACCACTTCCAGGGGCAGCATCAAGACCCAAGGCAAGCTTTGGAGCTGCAACCCTTGTCTCAGTCCGGCCAAAAGCCGTCCAATGCTCCTCCATATCCATTTGTGCCACATTCAGACCTGCAGACAGTGACACAAAGGGTAAAGGGACGTGGTGCTGTGGGCGATGAGTACAGCTCTTTCCAAAGGCAACATACATAGAAATTCAGAACAAAAAGCTGGGCAAGGTCCTGTTCTTGCAGTATTCCCAGTTGTTACTCACACCAACCATGTGAGCAAGCTCACGCACTGACCTACGCAGGTTTTAGTATCTTCAAAAGGTTCTCACTTTAAAACATTTTTGAAAGAGTCAAAGGCTGGACCTCTGCAGTGAGCAAGCACCTGGGGGGCACTGGAGCCATCCCTCAGCTGGTGCAGGGCACCAAAAACCACCACCAACTTTGGATCAGCAGCTACGTCTCCATCGTAATGCACCATGGTTCACCCTCGGCGCCAAAGCCAAGGCACAGAACCACACTCTATAAATACAACTGGTGAGCTTGCTCAGAAATTCACTCTTTAATCCAAAAAAGTACTGTCACCCTCCTCTAAGCACACAATAGATGCTGCCTTCTGTGCTGTAGACTCCAACTAAATCTCAGTTGTCAAATTAGTAATTCATCTTTCTTGAATAACTGTATTTTTAGCAAAGCTCCCAGATTTAAATAATCAGACCTGCCAATGCTACCCTAATTTAAACATGCTGACGAACTTTCACAGGCAGCATCAGCTAACATGATGAGTTTCTGGATGACAAAGAACTTCAGACTATAGTTCTCTACACTACCCAGCCTAATAAGCACTTGTTCTTTTCCACAATGCGCACATAAAAGAGGAATCTAAATAATAATTGCTGTAATTATCTTGAAAAATATGTGGTGATTAATGGTGATTATGAAAATCTGTATAATTGTTCACTGAAATCTCCAATGATCAGACACTTTCTTGAAAGACCAGTTAATGAAGAACCCAGGACACAAAATGCATCAAAGCCCCGGCCAAGTTCCCATCCGTTTGAATCGCGTCAGGACGCGACTGCTCCCGGCCCGGTCCCTGCAAGGGGCTCCGAGGTGTCTCCAAGGTGACACGCGTGTCACCACGGCTCAAAGTCCCAGATGCCCACGATGTGACACGCGTGTCACTGCGGTTCAAAGTCCGAGGTGCCCACGATGTGACACGCGTGTCACCATGGTTCAAAGCACCCGGTCCAACCTGTTATTTATGCAAATAATTAATTACTCTTGTATCCAACCAGCAGTTTGTCATGACACATTAATGACTTGATAGACTCCTATGAACTACTGAACACAGGACAGCAGAGCGCTTTTATCGTCATTTAATTTAAAAACGATCCTGTGTGAAATTATCTAGTCGTGAGTGATGGAAGCATAAAGAACAGACTCAGCAAAGCTTCTTTTGGATCATTGCTTTATTAATGGTAACGTCAGGGAAATGAAAAATGCTAACATTGTCATATTTAGCTCCTGGGTATAGATGAATAGCTGCCTCAGAGCTTGGCAGGTTCAGTTTGCACACTGCAGCAAGCGCTAATTCTTCACACCACCATTGCGGGGATACACAGCCACCGAAGAGTTTACATACCTCAACTCCCAAGGAAATAACAGCTGCTTCTGCATTAAAGTTCTCACCATAAGCTTTTATAGCTTTGGATTTCTTTATTGCTCTTTTTGCATGGCCTTTTACACTTGAAATTTAGACTGCTGATACTAAAAATATTTTAAAAAAGAAATGCCTTGCAAAACATTTTCCTGCATGACTTTGAAAATTAAGCATTGCCAATCCAAAACAGCAAAAAAACCCCAACACTCAATGTACTATTAGCACCTTTAACATTTAAATGATCTTAGATTTTAGAAACAGCTTCGTGTAATACTGCAGAAGTCTTCAGATTTTCCCCAGACCTCAAACACCAGCAGAGCGTTTATGTTCTACCAAGATAAACCAGCCTACAGCAATACCATAAAACCAGCGCAGCTCACCTGTTCAGAGAAAACTTAATTTTCAGCTAAATGACGCCAGAGGAAATAACGTCTCCACATTTCCATCAGGACCTTAGAAGTGGCTGAGAGCCGGGGGCTGGCAGGAAGCGCGGGCACAGCACTGAGGGAAGACACCGGCAGATCCAAGGGACGTGCAGCCCCCAGCCTGGCCTCAGGCAGGGCACCTCGGCTCACGGGGAGGCCGCTCCAGTGCCATCTTGGCACATGAGGACACACGTGCGGTCTTGTCCCCAGGCCAAGGAGGACAAGGGACAGCTTTGCCATCAGAAGTGGTGCCGTGCATGGGGGGCAGCTGTTTCTCAGCCATGGAGACACCTGACAGCTGACGGTGACTGCTCCCCCAGGGACACCCACTCTCTGCAACCATGGCCATTGGCCTGGGGTGACAGCACGAGGCCAACGGCTTCCTGAGGAACAGGACAGGAACTTCCCGAGCTCTTGCAGGGCCCAAAGCTCACCCAGCGCAGTTGCTCCTGCAGC